GTTCTGCTCCCCACTCTGTCTCTGGTGAAGCCTCTCACAGCCCCTGAGCCTCTGGCCTGTACCCCAGTTCTGTATGCACAAATAAAATAAATCTTAAAAAAAAAATATGTATGTGCTGATTAACCTTAGAAGGCCACTCTTACATTTGGACCACTCAGACATTTCCTACTTCCTCTTCCAGGTAAAAGGATCATTTCACTTGGAGAAGTCATTGCTATAGTTGTCTAACAAATAACTTTTTGAGGAACAGGTGAGAAATATATATTTGTACAATGAATTATTTTTTAAATCTAACTACCAAAAATATTTAATACCAGAACTGGGCCAGTAACACTCTTTCAATCCTGTTCAACCTCCATCTCCACATTACTTTTTAGAAGAGGAACTGGCAACAGATTGCTTGTGTTAACAAGGCACCAAAGAGACAGAATGTTAAATTCCAGGTTTTTCAGGATGATTCATGTACAAAGATAATTTTACTTTATCAGTTAAATTTAACATTTTAAAAAAATTGAAGTAGAATTTTAGCAACCAATAGGGAAACATATTTTATGTGTATTTGGTAGATTTTGAAGTACATTCAGTATTGATAGCTAGACTTTTTCCGAGCTTTAAACTTCTCTCTACCGCCAGGTGGCAGTAATGCAGCCCAACACAGGGTGACTAGGAAACTATAAAAACTGCATTTTTCCACTGTATATTGACCAGGTCCTGCTTGTTAATTAGGTAGTCTATAGCTATCAGCAATATATCCACAGCATGTTCTCCCTTCCTAAGATTTATTCATAGATTTGGATTGTCATGTACTCTGAAAAATTTTTTGAGGTAAGACTATTGTTACTCTAATAAAAATGTAGAATGTTATTTATCTTCCTGATAAACATTCAAAGCATATTTTCCTCTGAGAAGTGGCATCTCTTATGAAGCCCACAGAAAATCTTGGAATAGAGAAACCAGGTCCTGCCTGGTGGCAAAACGGGGTAAAGTGCAATACTGAAGCTATCAGCTGCAGAGTTTGACCCATATTGTTGGGAGACTCTTCTGACTCACCTGCTGCTCCTGTCAGCAGTGTACTTCGTGAGTCTGCCTGTTTTGCTCCCCACTTTGATGAATCCTCTCACCTCTTCCCCCCACCCCACCCCCACCCCACCTCTGGCCTACATACCAGTTCTTCTATACATAAATAAAAAGAAGGAAGGAAGGGTGGGAGGAAGGGAGGGAAGGAAGGTCTTAAAAAAAGAAAGAAAGAAAAAAAAGAACATGGAACCTGGTTTGAATTCCTGTGTATAAATAAATAGACCAAACAACACTAAATAGCATAGGCAAATTACACTGTGCTCAGTTTCATCATTAGGAAAATGCCGGTAACAATAGGCCATCACTGAAGGATGCTTTGATGACATATCACTAGTGTAAATGCACACATGGGGGCGGTAAGTTTGTCATCAGCATTCCTGCAGGAGAGCATTCCTGTAACCACACTGTCTCAGAGCTTCATCTTAGAAGTGAGCATGACACTAAGAGTCTCTTATCTCATGGAAGGAGACAGAACTAACCTAGAAAATACAGGTAAAGTGACCAGAGCAATACTTATCCATGGTATTTGATGAACTTAGTTTCATTACTCATTTGACAAGTATTTAGTGCCTACTTTGCAAGACACTGTGACACCGTGAATAACAAAGACGCATTCTGTTTGAGGAGACAAACAGCAAGTAAATTTCATTTTAAAATATAGATTGTGACAAATGCCCCAACCAAACCACTTATTAGAATAGCCAAAAGCTATATTTACAATTCTGGATAAAAATAATGGGTTTGACACATACACATTATTGTTTTCATACCTAAACCACATTAAATGCTTATTTTTGAAAAGATAGAAGGCACAAAGTGGTGGAAAATAACAGAGGCGACAAGAACAAACAATATTTGAACCTATAAAACAAACAGATGGATGTTGTTTGCAAAGACAAAGCTAAAAATTACTCACTCTATAAAACTTTCAATAGTTCAGGAAATGTTGGTTTATCTAGAATTGGGGTAGAAAGTTAAGAAGGCCATAAAATGTAGAACAGAGGAAAAATGAAGTAGTTTTGGCATGAGAGTTACTCCCTCATCTTGCGCTGCTATGCCTTTTCCCCATCAAGTTTAGAGATGTTAAGCAGCATACTATATATTTCCTGTTACTCAGGTCCTGGGTTTTTCTCTATTTCCCATTTCTGAGCTTGTTTGTTTTGTATTACTCTGGGCTGGGAGTTATCACATATAATGTTTTGAGTAGGGGGTTAAGTGAATACATCCATACTTAAACCTAAATTCTACCCTTCTCTCTCCTTCTTGTTTCAGAACATTGTACTTTATCTCATGTTGGATACTGGAAATCTTCTCCAGGGATTCTTCATTACAAGAGGAGATACCTAAAAGAAAACTATTGGGAAGAAGCCCCATCTGGCTGAGTGATAGGATGCTGAAAATCAGCAAACCCTACCTCTGTGCTGAGAGTTCTCAGTAAACTTTTTGATCTCCTCATGCTTTATCATTGATTATAAAAAGTGGTCTGGCACTTGAGAAATACATAGACCAAAAGAAAGAGGAAAAAAAGCAATTTTAAACAACCATACAATCAGCAGTGAGATGATATTTTATATATTATGCAAAATATTGTGTTTGTTTGTTTTTTTAATTTAGTTTGGGTAGCATTGGTTTGTAATAAAAGAGCCATGGAAATTATGCAGTTAATGAAAGACTTTAAAACTTCACAGAAAAGGGAAGCTTGGCAAGATACTATTTCAATCCTGACTTCAGTCTACATATTTTACAAGAATGTCACATTTTTAAATAAGAAATGGTCCTTGCTGTCTAGAACTACTTTGGTGTTTTCATATGCTGGAAGAAGAAATTTATCTCCAACTTTCAAACTAACTGGTTGAGTCTGTCCAGACTCTTTAGAATCCTATCCAATAGCTACTACTGTTGCTTGTCATACTTTTCCTTGAGATTTTTCTGAAAGCATAATACTTCCTTTGGTTATAGTTTCAGCTGAACTCCTTTCAACTAATACTTCACTAAAAAGGAAAGAAATTTTCTAAATGCTGGAAATTTCCTAATTTATACTGACCACCAATAAAACAAGAGACCCACAGTCCAGCTTTCCAGATATGTGGATGTGGGGAAAGCTAAGCTAATATTTGTAAAGCAAATAAAACATAGAAAGAGTCCTTGTAAACTAAAAACATAGTATCAAACACTTAGAACTCAAGACAAAGGTTGATGAAGGAAGTTGAAGAATTCTTCAGGAAAGTAACACAAAAAACCAAAGATTTTTGGGAAATAGAGAAAAGACCTGATAGCTGAACAAAAATAATTATAATTATAGTATAGTAGCATGAACAAAGAAAAGAAATGGGGAGGAACACCACTTGAGAAATAATTGTAGAAAATTTCCTAGAATTAAAAGACAACTTTCAGGTGACATCCCAGCATGATGAATAAAAAGATCATACCAATACCAATTTTAAAACTTTACAACACTAGGGCCAAGTGTTTTTAGGAGAAGAAATATATCACAAGCAAAAGGTCAGTAATTAAGTTGCAATCTGACATTCCAACAGCTAGAAGACCATAGATTAGTAGATACTGTAGAAAAATTACTTTCAATACAGAAATCTAGATCCAAATTATGCAGCAAGTATGATGATGAAATAAGATCATATTACATGATTTTCTAACAAAGAAAGCCCCAAATATTTTTCTGCCCTGAGTGAGCTATTGGAGGATTGCTCTATAAAAAATCAACAATAATGAACTCAGGAAAGGATCAAAAGAAACACCTAAGGTGTAAAAGATATTCTAGGATGATAGGTGTGCACTCAGTCAGTAACATAACAAACCAGATAGAAGCCATGGGCCCCCAAGATAGACATATTAATACCCTCATCGTCATACCTGTCATCAAGAATTCATCATAATTTTAGAGTAGCAGAGAGTGTTTCCCAGATGAGTGAAGGAGTAAATAAAGACAGGATGTCATCCAGGAAACTGGACTCCAACTCAAGAGAAAGAGATTCTGGGGTGTTAGTGATCAGAAGTCAGTAACAGATGTGCAGAAAACCTAGAAGGTACTGTAAGGGAAAAGGGAGTTGCTAGGTCAGATTTCTCTAAGAAAATACTGGAAATAATAACTATCTGATATCACTGACACTGGAAATTCATATGGGTAGGCTATGGGATCTTGTGAGAAGTTCAGTAATAAAAATAATAAGCAAAGGAGAAAAAGCAGTAACTGACTTTGAGAAAGAAAAATGAAAAAGGAAATAGAATCCTGGAATGTACTATCCTGTATAATATTTGCACAGGCATACTAATATAAGCATGGCCTATTTATTTAACCAAAAGCTTTAATATCTATGTTCATATATCTCTCTATATGTTATGCTATTATGTCACTATATTTCAAGAAAGGGAGCATTCAATTATGTAATAGGTAATTTCTTCTTACTATAGTACTTCTATACAAATTGGTGAATCAAGGAATGTCACATTTACATAATTTATAGAAATATGTAGATGTTTAAACCCTAAAAAAACTAGCAGGGTTAAAAATAAGGGTAGCATCTGAGGAGCGTAAAGTGAGGAAGTGAGTAGAGAAGGCCTACTTCAATTTAGCTTTTAAGTATAATTTGAAATTTCAAAACAATACATGCATATTACTTTGATAAAAAGAACTCTTTCATAACACATCGCAGAGTGGTATAAATATTTCATAAGCAGTATTATGTGATTTATAATAAACTGATCACATTACTTTTATCTCTTGTTTTTTCTCTGCCCAAGGAAAACGGGACATGAAATCATCCAAAGTGTCTGCAATTGCATCAACTTGACATTGTTCCACTTCTGTTTTTCCAGCCAAATCTATGGAATATAGAGAAGCCATGTTATGCCCAGGAAAATGTTCAATTTTATCAATATAGTTAAGTTTATTTTTAATAGGCAGCATTCATATAATTCAAAATAATACTAAATTGCACCCATGAGGACACTTCATCTTGTCCCTTTGATTGGTAACCACATTTATTATTATTATTTTTTGTCTTTTTGCATTCTTTCTTTATGAAAATACAAGCAAATAAGAATATGTTTCGCATTTGAAATGTACCTCCCTCATAAATCCTAAAGCTCATTCTTTACATATACCTTTAGGATAATCTTTCTCCTTTTTCCAGCTATAAGGGATTTTTAAGTTGATGTGATACTGTTTATTAACTAGCCCTAATTAATTATGTGTTTCCAAACTTTTGCTCATATAAAACACTACAATAAATAATTTTACATACATTATCATTTAATATTTTAAAAATTTTTATTGAAATAGCACTGGTTTATAACATTATATAGGCGTCACGTTTACATTATTGCATCAAAATCTGTATTTACTACATTATTTTCATCACCAGAATTTTTTAATTTTTGCAGACAATTTTTGTCAGGAAGTTTTGTTCTCTTCCCGGAAACTATAATTTAAAATAACAAATTCTTTTTCTTTCCTGCAATTCATTTAGTATCATTTTGCTAAGAAATCATTGATCTTTCTAAATAATTTCTCACAGATTAAATTTAAAACGCTTCAGTGTGGAAGAATTCTAAGATAGATTGCTACTGTACAATTATATATTTTACTAAAAATCTAGAAACTATGTACTGACTGTGGGTGAGTTTTACTTCAATCACACTTCAAGAAAGCTGAAAAATAATGCCTTAATGTTTAAATTCTTGTGTAACCTATGTTCTTTGTTGGTGACAGTTAAATACTGATTCTTATTTCTGAGCTGGAAATGTCCCATTGAAATGGAGCACAAATTCTTTTCACTGATTTCCACCCTTTTTAATTTCCATTTTCAAGCTTCAGTTATCAATTTTATGCAGATGAATCCTTATTCAACCCTTTCAGTCCTAAATTCCAGGCTTATATTTTCAGCTCCTTTTGGATATTTGTCTGTTTGTGATTTTAACCCTGCAACTTCTAAAGCAGCTCCTAAATGGAGTCATCACATTCTACTTCAAACAAGCTCTTCTGTCCTCATTCATTCAATAATTAGTTACTGGGGTTCTAACTGTGGCTTGGTCCCCACTGTGACTTTGCAATGAACAAAAGATAAATTTCCTGCCTGTATGGCACGTATGGCTGTTTAGAGAAGGCATACTGACACTGAAAAGGATGGTAAAGGGCTTCTGCTTATTTGTTTTGTATTTAAAGACAAGAGGAGGAGACATAGTTATGAGAACAGCAACTGCACCAAAGCTGCCCTTTGCAGTCCTTACTGTGCTCAGACACACTGCCCTGCAGTCGTATCTACCACACTCCTTATCCATGGATCTCTGAACTGTTTCAGTGACATCCAAGTGTGCTTCCCTGCTATGTCACGCCAATCAAATCCTTAGTTGGTTAGGATAATCCTTTCAAACTCATAGCTGTAGTTATGTTGCTTCCCTATAAGAAAGTCCTACAATTGACGTCAAACAGTGAAAGACAAGTAGTATAAGATATTCTCTTATAAAATGAAAGTATAAATACAGAAAACAGACTAGTGGTTGTCAAAGGTAGGAGCGTGAGAAGAGGATGATAAAGCTGAAAGTGGTAAAAAGATCCAACCTTCCAGATATAAGTGTGGGGATGTAATGAATAGTGGGATGACAATAGTTATTGAAACTGTGTTGTATATTTGAATACTATACAAGTATTAAAAGTCCTGATCACAAGAAATAAATTTATAATTTCATACTGATGAATGTTTACTAACATTTAATTTTATTCTCCTTTGCACAATCATGTTCAGCAATAAACTTATTTAATGAATAATAAATATGTATCATAGTTTTTTAGTTATCAAAAATCTTAAACACAATAAAACATTTACCTGTTTGTTTGACCAAGTATCTTGCTATTGCTAGGCTCTGGTGAAGGATAAGTCCATCAACTTCCAAAACGGGGATTTTGCCAAATGGAATTGCTTCAAATAAAATAAAGAATTCAACTCATAACAAACTTAAGAGTTATAACATTTGCATTTTTACTGACAGTTGTTGAAATATATCATGATTTTATCACTTTTTCTTTTTTTAAAAAGATTTATTTATTCATTATTACAGAGCTGGGGTACAGGCCAGATGGGTGAGAGGATTCACCAGAGACAGAGTGGGGAGCAGAACAAGCAGATGTACTGAAACACACTGCTGAGGGGAGCAGTGGACAGGTCAGAAGAGGTCTGCCACACCTTGTTGGTCAGCTCCCTGGCAGGAAGATGGAACTCATGCGGCAGTGGCTTTGGAGAGTTTCATAATTCAGTGCTTTAACCTGTTGTGCCACCAGGGAGAGGCCTCATTTTTCTTCTTTAAATATAATTGTTTATATATATTTTACATCATTGTTCATTTTTATGCAATGTTTGCTTTTTCCACTCAGGTAAAGTCCCCATAGAATTCCCAACTATTCACCTGTGCACCATCGTCATAGTCCCTTGTGTCTTTTCCTCCACTGTTCTGATCTCTCTTCTTCCTCCTCCCCCACACAATGTCTCTGATTTATAGTTGCCTGATAATTTTTTTTTGTTTCCTCAATCCCTCATTTGGTTCCCCTATCTTCCTCCTATAAATGAAACCATCCTATAATCTTCTTATTCTTTCTGACTTATTTCACCTAATCTCTTTTAGCTCCATCCATGTTGCTGAGAATGGCATGAGTTTATCTTTTTTGACTGCTGCATAGTATTCCATTGTGTTTATATACCACATCCTCTGATTTAGCAGATCATGATTTTAAATTGATGATTCTTGAATATTTAGTCTGACAGGTACATTAGGCATACTCTAGTGCAATCTTACATTGTATGTTTCTTTTAAAAATAAAAAAAGAAAAGTTAGAAGACTTGCTAAAGTGTAAATGAACAAGACTATAGCCCAAAGAACAAGACGATAGCACAGATTTACAGTGATACTGTATACTAAAGTATATACTCTCTCACATACTTACATATATTTACTACTTAGCTTTTACAAAAACATAATTTTTTTAAAAGTTTCATTAATTTTGGTGATCTCAACCAGATATCACATTAGTCATTCTGTTAACCCATACTCTGATAAATATGGAGATTTACCATGGAGGTAGAGTAAGGCATTTAGTCAAATTCATATTTGATGAGCAAATATTTGAAGTATATGGTAAGAAAGCAGCATATTATCACAAATTTAAGACAGAGTCATAAATATTTTTACAATTTACCTGTAAATCCTACTTTTATCCTTATCTGAGTATATCACATTTTTATCAAAAAGAAACATTTAGTATAGAAAAAGTCTAAATTAAAGAGAAAAATAATTACCACCTAGCTATAAAACTTTTAATTGCTTTCCCATAAATTAAAACAACAAAATCATAACATATTTAATGCTTGGTTAACTACTTTTTTTTCCAATTGGCTTTTAAAATCTGACTTAAGCACCATCTTTTTAATAGTTGCTTATTACTTTGATGCACTAACTGGTCACTATTTTCCCAACAAGTACTTTAGTTTTGGATGTATAATTATTTTGCAATGATGAAAAAGAATAAAATACCACTTGCAGTTACATGACCTAACACAACTACAGTAAGTCTTCATTTAATGTCTTCTATTGTTTCTTGGAATCTTACAGTGCAATGAGTATAGTAAAAGCAGTTCTCAAATAACATTACTTTGGTTAATATCAGCTGTGTTATGAAATGATGCTGAAAGAAAAATTATTCAAGGTCCTGATATACTAAAACCAACATTGTAAACTACTTTCAAATGTCTTTCATATGCATACTGGATAAGTGTAGGCAGATATACTTCATGTTGTAGAGTACAAACATGATGGATATGCCAACTATTATTATTCTAGGTGCCTGAGCTATTTTATTGAGTAAAACAAAATCCCAAATAAAGCTAACATTAACTTTGGTAGCTTGTTTGAAACTAAATAAATGATCAAGAAGAAAATAACAATGCTGGGTATTTCTTTCTTTGTGTTAAGCATTGTTCTAATACTTGACATATCCATTCAAGTACTGAAAACAACCTTGTAAAGTATGAAATAAATACGGTTTCATTTCATATATTAGCAAGTGAGGTAAAGAGTTTTATTAGTTCTTTGTAGGTCTGGCAAATCAGTTTCTTGTCACATGAATGGTGCGATAGTCTGAGGGTGCTGTAGAGTCCAGCACCTTGAGGGTGCTGGGCTATAGTCTTTCCAATATTTCTTCTTGGTTTAGTGATAGCTAACTTTTTCACTGTGCAGAAACTTTTTAGTTTGATGTAGGTTGCGATGTAATATTAATTTGTTTTCCTTGTTGTTGGAGATATGCACTGTTTTGCCTTTTTTGTTGTTGTTGTTAGTAAAGGACTACTAATTTATTTGTGCATACAGAACTGGGGTACAGGCCAGAGGCTCAGGGGCGGTGAGAGGCTTCACCAGAGACAAAGTGGGGAGCAGAACAGGCAGATCTATGAAGCACACTGCTGAGGGGAGCAGCGGGCGGGTCAGGAGAGGTCTGCCGCTCCACGTGGTCACCTCCGGGGCAGGCGGGAATCGAACTCATGCGGAAGCGGCTTTAGCTTCTCAGTGCTGTGCTTTAACCCACTGCGCCACCAGGGAGGGCCTTGCCTTTTTTTTTTTTTTTTTAATGTATTTTATGGATTCAGGTCTTACATTCAAGTATTTTATCAATTTTAGTAATATTTTGTATATGGTGTGAGATAGTGGCCTGATTTCATTATTCTGCATGTGACTGTCCAGTTTTCTTAACACTGTTATTGAAGAGACTCTGTCCTCCACTTTCTCCATCTGGCTCCTACGTCATAGGCTAACTGTCCATAACAGATTTATTTCTGGGCTCTGAACTCTGTTCCAATGGTCTGTGTCTTTGTTTTGGTGGCAGTAACATTCTCTTTTGATTATGGAACTTTGTGGTGTAGTTTAAAGTCTGGGACTGGGCTACCACTATTCTTCCTCTTTTTTATTGGTAAGGATTGCTTTGACTCATTAGGGTTGTGTGTGTGTGTTTCAATATGAGTTACAGTAATATTTGATGTATATCTTTGAAGAAGGACATTGAAACTTTGATAGGGATTGCACTGAACATGTATAATGCTTTGGGTAATACGGCTATTTAACAATGTTAATTTTTCAATCCTTGTGAAGACAGTATCTTTTGAATTATTTTGTGTCTTCTTGGATTTATTTTTACGGTTTCTTAAGAGTTTTCATTGAATATGTCCTTTACATCACTTTATGCCACCCATCTCCCCAGCATTCATATCTTTTTTTAAGATTCACATCTTTACTGCCAGGTATTGAATTCTTTATGATGCATTTGTAAATAGGATTTTTTTTTTTTCCTTCTAGCTCTAGAGACCATCTCTGCCTCATTATCTTTTTGGGATGTAAGTCTACTTTATGAATATGAACCACCCTGTTATTCTTTGGGACCCATTTGTTTGTAAGGTCACATGTGGCTTACTGTCTCACTCCAGATAGTATTCACATTGTCCATAAGTCCCAAACAAAGGCCACTTATGGAAGATGAAGGAAACCTCATCTTTATAGAAGCTCACAGCAGCAGTCTGAATGTTGGTCAGACAAAATCAGACAGTGATGGACTCTATAGCACAATCAGAGAATTAAAGGGTGTGATCTGTTCTTTGAAACACTGGGCTGAACCCAACGATGCTCCTAGCAAGTGTTATCAGAAGCAGGGCTGGAAGTAGGTATAGTAACTGAGTCTCAGCAAAAGTCTATGGAAGTCTGGAGTCTACAGAGTCCCAAGGAGTTCATCTGCTTAATGCTGATTCTTCTCCAGAGGCATCTGCTGAATCCTTTTTCTTTCTTCAGAGACTGGGACAGCCTGGGAGCAGAATCCTTCTTCTTTGAAGGTGGTCTGATGAATGCTTCCTCTTCAAAGTCCAGAAATAGAATGAATCAATCTAGCTGTTGCTTTGACTGATAACCTCCTTCATCATTCCCCACCATATAAGCCTGATTGGACCATTTTCAATCCTAGCCATTTGATATGACCACTTAATACCAATCAGTTCCTTTTCCATTTTCAATCTGAATGATTAACTAATGAACTGAACTTGAATCTGATTGCTTCATTTAGCTTGTGCCTGATTGGTCCATTTAGAATCCTAGAGCCATATTCAAAGGGAGGAAAATCCAGCCCAGCCTCCACTCAGGTCAGGGCACTGGTAGGCCTATTAGCTCCAGAGAGCCATGGCTAGAACAGACTTGCTGGTGGGAGAGAGGACTTCCACAGAAGTGGGCTGAGGCTGGCATGCTGCAGTCCTACAGGTTGTTTGCCTTATACCTTTTGGGAGCTGAGGGGATTGACACAAGCTATGCAACCTCTATCAACTGACATATTCTGGAGAGACGGAAGTGCTCTGAAAAATCAGACTTTCCACGCTAACTTATGTTATTGTAACAGGGTGGTCCCTAGAAAAAGGGGAAGTTCCAGGTTCCCTACCCCACCCAGAAGGAGGGTGGAGCTGAGCAGAGAAAAAGGAGAGAAGGAAGCAGGATGGAGAGCCAGGAGACCTGAGAAAGCCACCTTGAGCAGCAAGCATGTGCTGAAGAAATTGCGCTTGTTTCCTGACACTGGACTGGTTAAAGCAGATGTGAGTGAGATACCTGTAGGGAGGTGACTATGGCAGTGTTTATATTGATTTTGATTTTGCTCTTTTCCTCCCAGATTT